GATTAAATATACTCAGCAACAAATTTGGTAACTGAACTTGGCAGTTATAATTTGAAGCTTAGTGAACTTTTCAATGAATATTGGTACCATTCATATTTTGATTTTTAAACAATACTAATCTTATTAAAGGAATCATTAATTACTAAATAGCGATTGTGTCATCTAATACAACTATGTTCAAGGAACTCTACAATAAATTGTGTGTGATAAAGATGAGTAATATATAGTTTCTATACTTAAGGAACCTACAATCTTGTTCACACCTTTAAAATTATTGTTAAAGAAGTATGCTAAATAGCTTTCCTCAGTTTCCTTAGTAAATTAAATTTTCTGGTATGATACAGAAAAGTCTGAAAGAACTCTGGCTAAAATCTAAATATGTTGAAAATTAATAAAACATTTCCTGCCTTTGGTAACATTTTTTTTTCCATTATACAAAGTTTGAATACATCTTTGTTTTACTCGTTCTGTACATTGTGAATTTTAATGCTTTATGTATATTTAAAATAGTTTTAAAATACCATATAAAGGAAATAATTATTTGATATATCTTTCTATATTCTTGTATAAGCCCACGGGAAAGCTTTCTTATGTGTTTGATATCTGTAGAGAAATTACAGATAAAAAATAAGTAAATTGCTACAAAATGTTAAGGTTAACATTTATATTTACAATATATGATAAATTTTAAAGTGATTATTATGGTTTATTACATTGGAAAATAAATATTCAATTATATAACTAGGGGCCCAATGCACTAATTTGGACACCTTGAAAGGAACTGTGGGCCTCAAAGCTGTATTGGGCACAGGGGTGGGTCTCAACCCATCCTCTGTGCCCCTGCCTGGCCCTTACTGCCTTGGCCCCTGGTTCCCTCTCTGCTGGCAGCTCTGCTCTCACTGCTGCTGCTCCCACATGCTGAAGGCACCAGCCCCACTCACACCCACTGACGGTGTGGAGTGATTGGGGCTGGTGTCAGCAGCAGATGTGAGTGGGGCTGGCCCCAAAGTGAGTGCGAGGTGTGGCTGCTGCCCCGATAGCCTCTCAGGAGCAGGGGAAGGTGGAGAAGCTCTCAGGGGCAATCGGGTCAGCAGCTATCGCTCATACCCTGTGATGGTGCTGAGTGATCAGGGCCAGCACCTGGTGTCAGCAGCGTGTATGAGTGGTGGCTCTAGTGCTGGGTATGAGCAGGGCTGGGCCAACAGTGGGTGTAAGTGCTGGGTGGGACGGTGACATGCAGGAGCAAGGAATTTTCAGTAACCACCAGAGGCTTGCCCCCATGACAGGGACTGGTGCCCCGTCTTGGTCTGGCACTCCTGCTCACCTGCTCCACCATCCCACTGTGGCCAACACCCACCATGTTCCTCACATGCTCCTGGTGGTCAGCGCACATCATAGTGACCAGTTGTTTGGTTGTTCCAGTTGTACTGTCATTCAGTCAATTTGCATATTAGCCTTTTATCATATAGGATATCTCAAGCCATAAAAGCAGCTAGCTAGTTGATGTGTACATGTATTTCCAAAATGGTTAATATTCTAGTTGTGAGGACAGTTTTTAGAGTATTGCACTAATAATCCCACTATTTAGTAATATAGGACATGTTTTTAAGTGACCTTGTTGTGGCACATAAGCTTTTTTAATAACTGATACCTGCCCCTTTGTTCCTTCTTGCATTACTATAATACTACTATATGCCTCCACTCTTAGTCAAGCTACTCTTATCTGTTTAACGTTCTCAGTGTGTAGCATGAGCTTTATAAAACAGGCTTTGGACATATTTTCTTTCTCTGATACACACTTTGCATATACCTATGGTATGTGTTATTTAGAGATTGTTTCTCTTTAACTATAGAAATAATTCAGTAAGAAAAGAATTTTTTTTTTAATATTCATTTTCCTAGGACTTACCTTTATGTCTCTTTTGCATATGGGTGGATTTAAATAATGGACTAAGACAAGAGGTTTGAACTATAGGAAAGGCTGGTTACTTGTGCATAGCTTTTCTCCATGGTCCATAAACCACAGTTTTGGCTCTTACTTGACTTGTTATCCAATAGTGCTTGCTGCCAGAAACCAAACATTATCTCTCTAATAGAAAGATGTAAAAGGATGGTCAACCTTGAAGCTCTGAAAGGTCAGAGCCAATTACTGCCTGTGTAATTGAGACAAAGGTAACAGGCAACTTCCCCATCTTGTAATCATTAAATCCTTACTGAATGATAATCTGCTCAATACTTGCCTAAGGGCTATGGATGTATCCCAAACCTGCTTAAGGGTAATGGGTGTATCCCATAGTCTCTATAAAAGGGTTGGCAAGGCTGGAACCTAGTGGCAGTTCTCCCACTAGAGGTGGGCTCCCCCTGGCTCCCCATATTGCCAAATTAAATTTCTTCTAGTCTCTCTTTAATTTGCGTGAGACCCTTCTCCAGAAACCAAACCCTGAACCAGAACCTTGAACCATGCGGGATGTGAAAGGGGTTCCCATAGCTTGCCTCTTTTAAGTTTGGAAGAAAATGAATATATGGTGTATACATCAATCACTAGAGGGGAAAAAATATACTATTCAATTTTGTTTCTTTTTTTTTTCTTTTTTCTTTTTAAATATATTTTATTGATTTTATACAGAGAGGAAGGGAGAGAGATAGAGAGCTAGAAATATCAATGAGAGAGTCATCGACCAGCTGCCTCTTGCACACCCCCTACTGGAGAAATGCCTGCAACCAAGGTACATGCCCTTGACCGGAATCGAACCCGGGACCTTTCAGTCCCCAAGCCGACGCTCTATCCATTGAGCCAAACCGGTCTCGGCTCAATTTTGTTTCTTAAATACAGTGAGAAAATATTTTATTTCATGAACTTACCTGTATCTCCAAAACATATAATCTACTAAAAATTACAGTTGTGTATTTAAACTGTGGTAGTATTTGGAACCATATCAAGTAGGGAAGTTCTTACCATTAAGCTAAAACAATTCTCATATCCCAAGTCCACAAAAAGATTGGCATTTTTCTCTCTATAAAAGATGCAGTGACCATACTGAAGGAAATTGCCTCTATACTATTTTTAAATATTCTGAAGTCCAACAGATAGTCTATTATATTTTACCTTAGGTAAATTAGAGCTTTGCATTTCTTAGTCACAGCTTAAGAGGTTACATTTTGGTGCTTTAAATAAATTAATTATTATGGAATCTTTAGAGGGCATATACTGAAAGGGTAAAGCAGTATATATATATATATATATATATATATATATATATACACACACACACACACACACACATATATATATATATATATATATATTAATTGGACCAGATGTCCTTTTGGACAAAGCCAGGACTGTGAGGGAGCCCAGGTCCTGGGTGCCAGAGGGAAGCCAGTGTTGGCAGCTGGGGAAAGGAAGGCCTACTCTTGCCTAAATTTCATGCATTGGGCTTCTAGGATATATATAGTTGTTAATCCTCACTCAGGATATATTTTGCCCCCAAATGATTTTTAGAGAGAGAGTGGCAGGGAGAGGTAGAAATCGAGAGAGAAACATTGATGTAAGAGAGACATATCAATTGGTTGTCTCCAACAACCAACCCAACCAAGGCCCAGGGATTTAGCTTGCAATCAAGGTATGTGCCCTTGACCGGAATGGATCCCCCAGGACCATCCAACTGTGCCAAACTGGCTAGGGCAGCAGTTTTCTGTATTTTGATTAAACCTCAGTCAGAGCTCTATTTCCTTTACTAAATTTACTACTAATTCTGCAGCTTCAGAGTGGTGACTATTGAATTATACCAGTGGTAGCATCATCAGACAGTCTAACATTTGCAAGAGGAAGTTAATTATCTGAACATTTGAGGCTTATCCAGAGGTTCAAAAAGTATTTTATCTTAATGTTATTTAAATACATGCATATTTATTTAGCTTCTTAATGCATGTTGTTTCCAACCACGTAAATCTATTTTCATAACAGAGATTATTTAAGATATTTGGCTTATTTTTTTGGCAAATGTGCCAAACGTCTGTTTTCTATAAGACATGTGTCTGTTTCAACTTACTATTTTGATTATGAGTAGTTTATTATCCAGATAGACCTTCAAAAATAGAATATTTGTTTAAGAGTTCTTACGTATATGGTTGAATGCATATTTTAAAATGATTTGGGGTTTATAAATAGCATGTAAGATAATATAGGAAACATGTTAAGTATAAAATATAATGCTCTAAAAAAATGGAAGGGAAAAAAGATGATAATATTCTAAGCATCTCCAATAAGGAAGTGAGTGGGTGGAACATCTTCAAATGCTGATTTTGCTTTCCTTAGAACAGCGTTAAGGTCTTTGATTGAGGTTCCAGCATTTACACTACCCACTTCAGTTAACCAGTTTCCCAGGTTTTATTACTTCTTATGAAAACTGTCCTGTCATTCTGACTGACTTCCACGCGTTGACTTATATCTTTTCACATTAGGGATGTAAACTTCCTGGGGGGGCAGTTGTTTTATGTTTGAAATTGTTCAGACTTTCCATCTGCTTTTACTTGACTTGTGGTCTTGAAGATCATGCTTGGCCCATGGGATGGTACAGTGTGCTGAGAGGATGTAGAGTTTTGTCAGCCAGTGAAATATGCCTGGGGTTTCTTTTTTTCCTTCTTTTTTCAGCAGCTTTCATACGCTCCTCATCCTGTGTGGTCTTCACTAAACTGAATTTATATTTAGCAGAACTACTCACTCTCTTTATCATCTTCTAGAACTTGGCCTTTTTAAGGAGAGGTGTGTGGAAGGAACATCTGGCCAAAAAACTGTAGTCTTGGTAATAGGAAAACTTAAACCCAAAAGCTTAAAGTAGTGTTATATATGATTGTGCTTCAATATTCACAAATGTGTATTTTCTAATGCAGAAGTGGATCATATTTCAGATATATGCAACTGTCAAAAAAATTCTCATGCCAACAGTAGACTCCAAGTTTTGTCTGTGATCCAAATTACTTTTTTTGTTTATTTTTAGGCACTGCTACAGTCTTCAGTTAAGCAACAAGTAGAAGCTGTTGAAAAACAGTACATTTCTGCAATCGAGAAACAAGCACACAAGTGTGAGGAGTTGTTGAATACTCAGGTAATAAAATTGCACGTCCATTATATATTTATACGTTTCTTCTACCTCTCCTCTCTGAGAGCTTTATAACTATTCAGTTTTGATCCATCTACTTTCGATGGTGTATTTTGGAGCAAAAGAATATGCTTATGTAAACTCAGTATTAAAGTTAGGGAATTTTATGAGGGACTAAAAATAGGGCTAAAGGACTAAAATATATGGGACTTCCTCAAATTAATGACAATTCTTATGTTACTTTCTGGGTCATACTATTATTTATAAAATAACATAAGCAAATAGCTGATTATAAATGTGTTATGGCATATGTAATGATTTTTAGTAGTATAAGATTTATAAATATGGGCATTTTTAAAAGAGTATTTATGCTTGAGTTACCTTTCATTGCATAAAGAAATTTTTTCCTATTGATATTTTGAATTTTTCCATTAACTTTTTTTCTTTCCTTGATGTAATGTCTTAGAGGGCATTAAAGACTGTATTAGCTGATTTATATTAATCAATTAAGAATTAATGGATGTATCATAATATAATAATGCAAGAAATTCTCAACAACACTTCTGAATAGGCTTGGTAGGTAAAAAATAAAATAAACTTTATTTAAAGGACCTATTTTGTATCATGGGAAGAAAATATACTAAGAATTAGGAAAACAGAATTAGGTATAAAATTTAAATGGAGATTTATAAATATGCCACTGCATCCCCAAAGTAGAGGTCAATTCTGTTAAATATTATTCATTGTCATTTTAATAAATGGTTTGGAAAAGGAAATACACAGGGAATTTTATAAATTTGATCTAATAGTTGTATTCTTTTGGATGGTGAAATGCTAGGTTGTCTCAGGAATGAAGTTTATATAACTTCATAATATAACAGAAAACTCAGAGAAAAATTAAGATCATAGATTTGTAAAATAGCATAAGGTATGTATTAGTCAGGACAGATTAGGTTATGCCCTAAACTCTCTGGCTTCAGATAATGAGATTTATACCCTATTCATGCCACACATACTGAGGATTATCTTGGGGCTTGGTCTTATGTTGTCCTAACCCTAGGATATAGCCTTTATAGTATCCTTCCTATGTAAAACATTACCTGTTATTGTTGCAGAGTGAAAACAAGCACAGCTAGATTTACTACCAGTAATTCAATGTTCTTCACTGGAAGTGATACTTTTATTCCCAATTTATTTCACAATCATAATGGGGCCAGGTAGCGACATCCTACCATGCACTGGAAGGAAGAGAGCAGGAAGTATATGATAAACAGCACTAATATACCACAGTCTGCTCTTTTGGTCACCAAATATTCAGTCTCCCATCTCACAGGCAAATTTGCTTATCTTATTCCTGTGGGTGAAAATATGAAATTTCTGTCCAGCTAATGCCTCAAGCTGAAAAGTCCAGGAATGATGTGCTGCAGTTTCCATATTATCTTGTCCAGATATGTAGGTTGTTTTTTTTTTTTTTTAACCTGAAGAACTAGAAACCAAAATATATGTTGTTTGCCTACAACAAATCTAGTATAGAGTGGTGAGACAAAGGTAAGGTATTATATTTAATCACTCTCAGTAGCAAATACTGAGAATCAGAGATGCATAGCTATTAACATTTCAGTGAACAGATTAAATAAGAATCTTTGCAATGGGGGCCATGATTTTCTTTTTAGGGTTTAGGGCAGGGTCTCTAGTCTATTTTATTTTATGCTCTTGTAGGTGTTAAGTTTTCTAGTATCTTTGTTGGCTATATTTAATGTAGTATTAGTGATTATACCAGTTTTTAGCATGCTTTCTGCCTATGGAAAATTGGGAGCCATGGTCATTTTAAATAGTAAATAGTCACAATTCAGGGCAATGATTCTTTTAGCTTCTTATCTGTTTGATTACAATCAGTTTCATTTAGCGAAGACAAATCAAACCCACAGTTTTTTCAGAGACCTCTTTCTTATATTTAATGTTTTTACATGCTTTCCTCCTCATTCTTGTCTATCTGTGTGTTTCTCTTTTTCTAGTTAAAAATAACTTAATTTACCAAACCTGCTTTGAAGAAATCCAAATGATATTTTTCCCTCAAACCATTTGGTCCAAACGAAAACATATATAGTCCCAGCTTTATTGATTCTTTGATCAGAGACACCTTAAATGATTGAATCTTTAGCAATGAGTATGACTAACATAAACTTTGCTTTCATATTTGTTGCAAGTTTGAACTTTGTTGGTCTTTTTCCTCAAAGGCCTTCTCAGTTGTTTGTTTTATAAATTGAGTTGGGGAGATGGCTGTCCCTCCAGGTCCCCAATTTTCTGAACTTTGTCTAATATCTGTGATTCATTGCTCTGAATCATCTTTTGTTGTTGTTTTGTTAATGCTCACCTGAAAGTATTTTTTCCATTGATTTTTAAAGAGAAAGGAAGGAGCAGAAGGAAGGGTAGAAGGGGAGAGAGAGAGAGAGAGACAGACAGACAGACAGACAGACAGAGAGAAGAAACATCCATGTGAGAAACACACATTGTTGCTTCTCCTGAGTACCCTGACCCAGGGTGGGGATTGAACCTGAAACCCAAGTACATACCAGTGACTGGAAATCAAACCTGTGACCCTTTGGTGCTTGGGTTGACATTCTAACCATTGAGCAACACCCGTCAGGGCACGAGTTATCATTTTTTCTTGTGAATTTAGTGTTAACTTGTCATTTTAAAAATAATGCCTTGTTAAATATAGCCAACAGCAGGGCTAATAAATAATTTCATTGAAGTTATAGGTTAAAAAATTAACACAAAAATCAGTTTCCATACACCTGGAAATGCAGGAAATAAAAAAAACAATTCAAATTATAATAGCATCTTAAAGAATAACTCGCCTAGAGATAAATTTAACTAAGGAGGTAACATTATACACTGAAAACAAGAAAACATTGAAAAAAATTAAAATTATCCTAAATTAATAGAAAGACGTCCCATAACCATCAACTGGAATTATTTGGTGAAGAACATTCAAGACTACCATTGGGTATTTAGAGGATTGTAGACAATTTAGTATGATGAAGTGCTATTTAAAAAACTTAACTGCTAAAAGGGGATTTCATTAGTAAGTAAAACCATGTAAAGTGTAGAAATGGTAACTCATACTCCCCCCCCCCTCCCAAATCATATTTCTTGAGATGCCAGTTGAAATTTGAAATAGCAGAATGGTTACATAGGAATAATTCAGTTTCCTGTGTGTGTGTTTTTCTCTCTTATTTTTAGTTCTCAAATTTGTAGTACTGGTGGTTTTATAATAGGATTCCTATTATATGCCTAATTTTTCCCCCCCAGTGTACACCATGCTGCAGTGACTACTTTAGCCTATGTATTACCACCCTTTCCTCCATTCCCTCTCCTCCCCTCCCCAAAAAGGTTTGATGCTCAGGTCTAAAGCATTTAATACATTAAACAAGGGAAAATGAGTTCCTTATTATTTCTTCAACAAAGATTTCTAGAAGTGAAATTAATTATATGGAAACAAGAGGCCCAGTGCACAAAATTCATGCATGGGTGGGGGTGTCCCTCAGCCTGCACCCTCTCCTATCTAAGAACCCTCTCACAATCCCAGACTTCTGGCTCCAAACTGCTTGCCTGCCTGCCTTCCTGATTGCCCTTAACCACTTCTGCCTGCCAGCCTGATCACCCCCTAACCACTCCCCTGCCAACCTGATTAATGCCTAACTGCTCCCCTGCCAGCCTGTTTGCCCCTAATAGCCCTCCACTGCAGGCCTGGTTCCTCCCAACTGCCCCTCCCCCCCTGCTGGGCATCTTGTGGTGGCCATCTTGTATCCACATGGAAGCAGCCATCTTGTGTGTTGGAGTGATGGTCAATCTGCATATTACTGTTGTTATTATTATTCACAGTTTAAGGCTTTGTAATATATGATTAAAAAATTCTGTGTGTACTAATTTATAGCTAATAGCAATGTAAGATCATACTCATTCACTGAGCTTTTACCCGGAAATTTGTAAACTTGTAACTTGATAAGTAAAACCTGTTAGATTTATATGATGGTTCATGTTATGTCTCAACTTTGCTAGTCTTTGTTTTTTTGTTTGGTCAAACACTAGTCTAAATATTAGAGATATTGTGAAGGTATTTTATAGATTTTATTAACATTTACTAGAGGCCCTTTGCAGGAAGATTCTTGTAAGAATAAGGCTTCCTCAGGCCTATTCCTGCAAAAATGGGGCTTCCTGCAGCAACAGGAAGCAGAGAAGGGAGTGAAGCCTACTGAGTAGGGCTTCATTCCCTTCTCTGCTGCCATGTTCCATTCTCTGCGGCTTCACTCCCTTCTGCAGCACTTGGCTTCCCTCTACGCTGTTTTCAGTCTTTGCTCTGTACCCACATTTGCAAATTAACTGCCATCTTTGTTGGGTTAATTTGTATACTCACTCCTGATTGTCTGGTGGGCAAAGCAAGGGATAGTCAATTTGCATGTTTTTCTTTTATAAGTGTAGATAATAAATTGACTTTAAGTAAAGCATATTACCCTAGGTGGGTGGGCCTCATCTAACCAATTAAAGACCTTAAGAGCAAATACTGTTGTTACCCAAAAAGAAGAAATTCTTCTGCAGTATTGTAATATAGAAATCCCAAGTTTCCATCCTGTCCTACAGAATTTCTATTTGCTAGCATCTACAATACCATGAGCTAATCCCCTCAAATAAATAAATATGAATTTCTCTCTTTTCCACCTCTTTCTCTCTATCTCTCCCTCTCTATGTATCCCTTTGGTTCCATTTCTGTGGAAAAGTATGTCTAATTCAGTTTGCAACTTTGTATTTATTTGCTTATCTTTGAGACTACCATGACTTTTTAAGGAAGTGTTAGAACTCGGTCGTGCTTTTCTAGACATGCTTTGTGCTATTTATCTACAAAGTTTGATTAGTTTTTATATACTTACTGAAAGTGCTAGAAAGCTGAATTTGCATTCCACTCAGCACTTCTGTTGCTAAAGGGCATAACAAATGTTTACTTT